GCTGTGGAGACGCTAGCTCCGTGACTGCCCCGGGGGGAAACCCACACACACTACAAAAGGCTGTTTGCTCACACACGCCCTCTCTCCCTCTCATCCCATTTCCGATGCACATGTTCTGTACCTGGCTGTGGAGGAAGTGCCTTAGCAGAAGCTGTTCAAAGACAGATGCTCGTTCTGTTATGTTTGCCAGCGGTGGTTTATTTGCATCCGAGGGTGCTGCGAACGCGGGGTTTTCGCAGATCGTGTTTGCCCTGGATTCTGTGAAGCACAAGAGAGAGACGGGGAGGCGTTTGTAAATGGAAGGCAGCTGAGGCGTGAAAACGGCGTGCTAGGAACTGAACGTCAGAGCAGATGGAGACGAGGGGATGTGGAGGAACAAGTGTTAATTTTGACTGATCACGCCTGGCTTAACCACTTATCTGCCTTTTTCTCTCTCTCTGTCTTAATCTTTGCAGCAGTAGCAGGAGCAGCACCCCAGGCACCAAGCCCCACGGACCCCCGACGCCCTCCCTGCACCTCCCCCACCACCCACCGCCTCCTCCGGCAGCCGCGGCAGCCTCCACTTTTCCCTTGGCCTTGCCCGCTAACCAGAGTAACCCCCACAGCTTCCCGTCTGCCTTGCAGTCGTCTCCACACCCACACCACCCCAATATGTTTGCTCCTCCAGCAGCCTTGCCTCCACCGCCACCATTGACGTCTAGCACCCTGCCAGTACCCGGACATCCTGCTGCTGGGAGTGCCTACTCAGGTAAACAGCACAAGCAGCTCGCAGATGTCTCCACATCGCCCCCAAGTGGTCTGACAGAGGACTGCACATTTGACTGCAAAAGCAATCAGCAGGTTCTTATTTAAACCAGTTGTTGCCGGGAAGTTCGAGACACATGACAAGTATGCAGAGCGGCATTTCATTTTAAAGCATTCGATACGCAGAGACAGATGCAAATGCTGCCCCGGTAATTATTTAAAGAAATAAGCAACCACGTCCAAGATGATCCACGTGCACGTCATGCCATCGCTTTGTGTGTTTATAGTTGTGTGGACAGTTCAAGTTCACACTCTGGTCTGCACGCATTACAAAAGCGATCACAGACCCTGTGCACATTTCTGCGCGGTGCTGTCAAGCTAAATGTCAGGGTCAGTACGGGGAAGGAGACGCGGGGGGGGGCCTCTTGCAACATTCCCAGAACGTCCATTTCACCTGGAACGGCGATCATGTGCAACAAATCAATTTGGTCAATACGGGACGGAGCGAGCTGGATGTTTTCCAAAGATACTAATGAAATTTTTATGAAGAGAAAATTCCAGCCCCGCTCCCAGCCCAATAACGCCTGAAACGAATGCAGAAACGATTGCAGCGAGCCACTGTGGAATAGGGAGGATAAGGTTACTCTGGAGGAGATATAATCTCTCAAGGCAGGGTTTGTTGAATTTAGAAGAAAAGCCAATGATTACTTGAAATCCATTCTTCACAAAGGTTATTAGAAAAAGGCGATCCGCGCTCTCAGAGGGGCTCGAGTGTATCAAATCGCCACATTTTGACAGTTCCAGCAGTCAG